CTCTCTCTCTCTCTCTCTCTCTCTCTCTCTCTCTCTCTCTCTCTCTCCCCGCGCCCGCTGGTTACCCCAGCGCACACATGTTCATGGAAAACTTCGGCTCTGCCACAAGAAGAAGAAGAAAAAGAAGGAGAAGAAGATAGTAAGAAGAAGAAGAAGAAGTAGAAGAAGAAGAAGATAGTAAGAAGAAGAAGAAGAAGAAGAAGATGAAGAAGAAGAAGAAGAGGAAAGTGAAAGTTTGGGTCACTTACCTTCAACGGTGGACGACGGGGCGGGGCGATGGTGATCCGAGGCCGTGGCGGACGTGGGAGGGGTGCAACCCAGTCGCAACCTCGTTCACTTTCGACGAAGTGTCGAAGTGACGGGTTGGAGGCTGGAGGCTGGCTGGAGGCTGGAGACGGGGTGGCGGGGCCGATCGTTGGCGGCAGGTCGGCAAGTCGAACTTCGGGCGGTTTCCCGCCCGAATGTTAAAAAAACTGCGGCCTATCTGGGCCGCAGATCTCACGAGATCGACGGCCCAGATAGGCCGCCAGTTTTTGAGCTTTCTGGCGGGCCTACCGGGCCCAGTTTTATTTTTTTGCGGCCGGGAGGCCTCCACGACCCGCATGGAGGCCTCCCGGCCCCAAAAAAAATTCAAACCCCCCAGCGATCCACTTGCGCGAAATGCCACCAGGGGGGAACCGGCACGGTCCACCGGCCGGTACTACCGGACCGGTTCCGGTGGGGGAAGGGGGCCCCGGTGGGACCGGAAGTTCAGCCTTGGTTCGAGTGTGATTTTGGCCGGTCTCACCTTGGTCTCACTGAACCATCGAATTGGTGTCAAGAGGCTCCTGTCAACGTTCAGGTGTTTGGCCCACCTGTTTATAACCGACTCTCGAAGCACTCTCTTAAGCCGGAGCATCTTATATGTGGACCTAACTGACAGGGAGAGCAAGTGGATCCGTTTGTTGGACAAAAAAACGGGTCTTCGTGCTATTCGCCACTGCCACTCCTGAGGGTCCATGGCCAACTCATGGATGGGTGTCTGTGGCTGAAAAGCTATGGCCTCTTCCCCCTCCCCTAATACCCATATCCTGAACACATCTGAGTTGTTCCGCCACTCGAAAGGGTTAGTGGAGCCCCAAGGCTGGTTCCTTGCATTTATCGTATAATATTCGGTCAGCACGTCTGCAGTCGGCACCACGTCTGCAGTCCGCACCGTATGGATTCTTCCTATCCTGCTAGGGTCGTCCCGAAAGGCCACCCAATTCCCTTCCTGAAATCTAGGTCCCTTTTTAAGCAGCCTGTATCAGGCAAGTGGTATTGCTTCTGTTATCAACTCTAAATGGCTCTCTATGTGGTGACAATACCGCAGGGAGCCCCGCAGCTGCGCCGCTGTCTTCTAGTCTTTCCTTTCCTGATTCCATAAAAGGCCAACCCGTAGCACTCCCTGCTTAACCCACCCCATCCACGGAGCCGCTGAGCTACATAGCACCTGGCCATGGTGGGGGGCAATCCAGCGGTTACCAAAGAGGGGTTGGCGGTAGACCTCTTCCCAGCGGTCCGGTGCTGGTTTGTCGGGGAGGGCAAGCTTGCGCCAGTTTCTCAAGATCGTGGGCCAAAATTCTGCTATTGGCTGGCCCTGAGTTCTTTGTGGGACCAACCAATAGCGGTCCTCTAACCACGTGAGGGGGTCCACCTCTGGCGGGGCAGACGGGGCTAATCGTGCAATGTGCTCAAGCGCCAATGCCCTCCATGGGCTTCTAGTGTTAAGGATCGACATCTTCAGCCATTTGAGTCAGAGGGCCTGAACCTGCGTAGGAGGATCTATAATGTCGACACCTTCCACCCTCTTCGGTTGTATAACTGATTCCCACGCCACCCGGTTAATCACATTTGCCCGCTCGTCATTACCCCGCCATAAAAAAGGCGCCGCCTTGGCGTTGAGGGCTTTGAAGGCCGCCTTGCTCAATGGCCACAACACTGATTTGTACCACAAGGTAGCAAACACCACGTTGTTAATTGCCAGTGCCCTGCCAAAAATAGAGGTATGCTTGTTGCGCCAAGCGGTCAGTTTGGCCAAGGCTGGTGTACTAATCCAGCTGTCATTGGACGGTGGGCGGCCATGGGGTGTCATGGTAACTCCCAGGATGTGGACTGTAGCCTCCTGGGGGAGGCTATGGATATTGGGGACATCTGGCGGGCGCCCCCCTTGATGGTGATTCCACCATCCTTGCATTTTGCTTCCCCGATTTACCACCATGTCAGACACTTCCGCAAACTTGTCCATCAGTCGCCTGGTCAACTGTGCTTTTTTAGCCTTTTTCCAAAAAAAAAAAAAAAAAAACGCAAAAAACTTAAAAAAAGCACTCCATCTATAGATTCTATAGAATCTACACTGATTCCACAGACATGCAATTAACCACACTGTTCAAGGAGTTTTGGCTAAAAATAAATTGCACACTATACGTTCTGATCAGCTTCATAAGTTTAATTAAAAAATGTATCAAAAGGACTCGAGAGTCAAGAGTCAAGAAGGTTTTTTAATTAAAAGTTTTGAAAACTGATCAGAACAGAGTTCAATAGGCACGGGAGGCTGTTTACAAATCTGTGAACAGGACATTTGACTGATTTAGGGAATTTTAGACAGTTCAGTAGAGTAGTCATGCCGACGGTCAGCGCCCCTGGATTGGTCGGGGCTGACCAGCCGACTGTCGGACTGGTCGGCACCTACCGGTTGGAGGTCGATTGGCACCCCGCCAAGTTTTTTACTTTTGTTTTTTGGTCCAGAACCCCAAATAACCCCATCAACACCCTCATAGCTCCCCCCAACACCCCCATACACCCCCATACCGTCCCCTAACACCCTCATAATACCCCGCCCTTAACCCCCTACAACCCCCCTATATCTCCCCCATGACCCCCCGTACCCGCACCCCCCATCCCCAAAAGTTTCTCAGCAGATTTGAGCTGTACTCGACAAGTGCAGTACAGCCCTGAACTCAGATTTGAAAAACAAAAAAACAGTGGATGGCCCTCTACAGACGTCCGACCAGTTCGCCTACGGGTCGGTCCGACTGGTAGGTGACCCGATGGCCTACGGTAGGCATGGCTGTATAGGCGGTCTGACAACCCTGCAGTTCAGCAAACACGACTTGTGCTTTTCATTCAGTGCAAATTAACCACAGAGAAAAAAATCTGAACAATTTCAGACCATTTCCAGATGCGAAAAAGGCACCATTGTAGGGTAAACGAATCCACCTATGGTGTTCTCCCAAACACAACACATCCTGATCATGACTGTATACAGGCTAGATTTACGATCCTATGCAGTCATGATGAGGGTATGCACACGATTGTTGAAAAAACAAATCAGGAGCTCAAATCTCAATGGATGCAATAAATCTTACCTGTGACTCCCTTTTTCAAAAACCACCAAAAGAAGGACCGGTAGCTCACAGTTGAAAAAGAACTAGAGAGCGGTCGTTGGATGACTGCCAGGAGAGATGGATAGAACTGTGTGGGGGTGAGGGGGTACGGGGGGAGGGGGGTGTAAATCCTCTCCCTGCCAGGGAGCAATCAATGCCCCCGCAATTCAGTCCCCTGTTGAGATCGGATATACCCCCAATCCAGCCCCCTCTTAAAGCACCAGTACATGGGCACCTGGGCCGCGGGTCTGACACCTCAAATTCTGAAGGCGCGGAACGAAAATGCAACCGCCGATCGAATTTATCAATGGAGGGCCCAGCGTTTGACATTTCCGCCTCCTTTTCTTGTGGCGACAAGTTTCGGACTGCAAGGCTGGGGCCGTGTACTTGTGGTTTAAGGAAGAATTACCCCCCCCCACTTCTCTATAACGGACCACAATGGCTCGCGGCGCAATCCCAAAGAGAAAAAAAGTGTGCTGCTGATGGTTCAGCAAAGCTTGGCGTGCAGTGCGAGTCTGTCACACTTGGGTGTACTGGTGGTTTAAGGGGTTCAGGGATGCTGGACACTGCGATCTTACGTTCATTTTCCCTGGACTCCATTACCAGCAATCGAGCCCCCATCCACTCAGGGACCCTGCACCCGCGTACTCCTAATTCGTGAAAGGGATCCCTTGGCCATAATAGACGGAGGAGTTCAGATTATATATGGTTGTGGAAAGCGACGCTGAGTCCCTAATCCGTATTTTCCGCCAATCTGATGTTTACTCTCTCCTCATGGGGAGCTGCACCTGCTGGGCAGGTCTTCCAGCAGGTGCAGCCCTGCACCACACTGGAGCTTTCGCATTTGGCCCAAAAAAAAAGGAAACGGAATGAAAAGGGACGAAGTTATCAGCCTCGTGGCCGCGCCATGGGAGTGTTTACCTCATATGCCCCCCTTTTTTTAAATGCTCATATGCGACATTTATGAGACGTTCACGATATAGGAGGAGCTACCAGTCGCGGCTATGAGACGTTCACAGCAACGTGGACTGACAGGTTATCTCTCGTAAAGGCTCATATGGCGTGCTTACCTCAGTCGAGTTTCAAAATGACCCACACAGTTGATGATGCCGTGAACGCCTCACATTACTTCCACTCTCTCATCATTGCCCGATCATCGGTGCCCTTAGCGCTACCGTTTGTCGAGCAGTATAAGCTATATACCATACAGGCTGGTTATTTCACAACCTATATAGGCTGTCTGTTTCACAATCGGTCTCGACAAGGAGCATTCAGATGGAAGTATTCAACCTCTGTGTGTGAATGGTGGAGGGCGTTTACAACACGTAAAGACATGGCTTGTCTCAATTTCAATTACGGGCTGGGCCAAGACTGCCAGCAGGTTCTCAGTAACTACCGTCTTCACCCGAATACAATGCCCAGTCATTATCGCTGCACCTAGACTGAAACTTGCACCAAATACGGTAGCCCCAGTGGCTAGATGGTACACAGTACTACAATGACTTTTGAGAAACAGATCCGTTGTTCGAAGTTCGGACCCTGCTGGGTATTACATAAAGACATGCCTTGTGTCAATTTCAGTTACTAGCTTCTTCCCCCAAATACAACGTACGGCCATTATAGCTGTATTTGAGGCATCTTTCAGTCTAGATACAGTTATAATGACCGTACGTCGTATTCCGGGGAAGAAGGTAGTTTGGCCAATACTGCCGGTAGGTTGTCAGTAACCGGCCCTGGGGTCTAGATGCCAGTAGTTGGTACACAGGACTACACATAATTGTTGAGAAACAGATCTGGTGTTCGAACCCTGTTGGGTACAATAAGGTTAGGGGCTACCCCCTTTAAAAAAAATGACTACGATCTCCGTTGCGTCATAACCAAGGCTCTAAATGTGGCTGCACCACTCATTGTGAAGAAAGGTTGTCCCAGGAGGTTCCCAATCATCTTCCACAGGCTTTTCTGAAGTGGCCATGGCTCCACTGCAGGGGCTCCACAAACTCGCATGTCACATTCGCGCATGTGAACGGCGGTATGGTCTACAAGAGTTAAGTTGGTGACATGCCTCCCGCCCAGTCATCCGAGACCAAATCCTCCAACCTAACACAGGATCCATATGACACTTCCAAACCAGCTCAATGAGAGGGCGTCTAGAAATGTGTAAAAGGTTAAGGGCACCGATAGAAGGACTTAGGGTCACAAGTCAGAAATAAGTCAGACATTTTTTCTTATTTAAGACGGGGGGGCAAAACAAAGATGACACGGTCACAGAAGAGAACACACATCGTGAATTAAGCCAACTCCAAAGTCACACCCATCAATCTAATTCCTCACACAGATCACAGCAGTCATAAGGAACGGTGCAATAACCAGATGTCCAAGTATTCATTACCTCATTCAACATATTCTCAAGGCATTGGAGCTTACACGCAAGCACTCGCAATGGCATTAATTTGTTGCATTTGCTTCACAATAGTGCCAGATCAACGACAACAAGCCACACGAAGGGTGAATGGAGAGAGAGAGAGAGAGAGAGAGAGAGAGAGAGAGAGAGAGAGAGAGAGAGAGAGAGAGAGAGAGAGAGCATCGGATGGACGGACGGAGGGACGGAGGCAGGAAGGGACAGAGGGAGGAAGGGAAGGACGGACAGAGGGAGGGACAGACAGACAGAGAGAGAGAGAGAGACAGACAGACAGACAGAGAGAGAGAGAGAGAGAGGACATGCAGATGCGCACCGCAGATTCTTATGGCATCCTCACCATATCTCTCAGCACCCAAGAGCAGACAGCGGTAGCCCCATCCTGCCAACCAGCTGCAGACGAAAAATATACGGCAATGTAAGAGCCCACCCAACTAACGTGGTAGTTGAAAAACTTCACGGTGCAATTTGTGAAATTGACATCACTGTTGAGAGAGCCTGTGCAACGACTGCCTCACTGCCTCTAACATGGAACTGGGCCCTGCGGAGATTGGATTTCCCCGTAAGGATGCATAGAGTACCACAACCGCTTTGTTTTGCTTTTCGATTAAACCGACCAGTGCACCCGAGCCTGGTGGACACGTACTGTGCACCAAGCTTCACCGAACCGCCAGCAGCAGAATTTTTATCTTTAGTTGGGCTGATGTCGCCAGCCATGGTGGTCCAGTAGCCCCGCGCCTCCAAAATTTAGGGAGTTTTTAGGAGTGAGCCATGAAACTTTTGAAGTTGTCTGAGGCCGTGTACTTGCAGTTTAAAGGGTGACGTACCTAGGTAATTCAGAGTACTTTACTCGACCGATCCCATCCGGATTTGTATCTCAGCTCTGCATATCAACACTTCGTTGGTTTTCCATTCAGCCTCATGGGCTGCGTTAGAGAGTACTGTAAAGTCCCATAACTTAGAAGAATATTTTGTCCATGTTTTTCCCTCTTATTTCCTTTTGGCGAAGTAGGAAGTATGACTACCGTCTTCACCCAAATAGAACAACCAGTTAATTATCGTTCTATCTGGACTGGAAGTTGCCCCAAATACAGCTATAATGACCGGGCGTTCTATTCGGGTGAAGATGGTAGTCCACAACCATTTTGTTTGTTAATTTAAAGGGTGATGTGCCTAGGCAGTTCAGTGTTATTTTCCTTTGATCCCATCAAGACTTGGCTTGCAGGTCTGCATATCAACAGTTCATGGCTTTACCATCAGCCACATAGTTGACTAACAGCTACACGTCTGTTACGGTCTGTACCATTCAGCCACATGGGCTGGATTGCAAAAATTATTATATTTTATTTTCAGTCGTCATAGTTTAGTAATTTATCTACTTGCGATAACCCGTCCAAACACAGACTGAAACACACAACTGATTTCTGAGTTTTGCTCATAGACTGAATGCCCTACTGAGTTCCCCGCCTGCTAAGTCTGTGTGCGTGTGTGCTTGCTGGACTGCATGTCTGTCTGAGTGCTGGTTGGCTTGCGTGTGTGACCATGCCTGTCTGAGTGCTGGTTGGTATGAGTGTGTGTGTGTGTGGCCCGCCAGGGCACTTGTTCGTTCGTTGGGCCCTCAGGGCCGGTACTTACCTGTGGCCGTGGCTT